TGGATGCTGAGATAACACAAATAACTCCCTTCAGAACCTATAGCATTTTCTCACTTCCCCATTTTCTAAAATGGAGATTTTTAAAATAACGTTTAGATGCAATACATGCTAGCTAATGTAGACATGCTTCTTTTTTGCACAAGTTAATTGTTCCTATTCAGCTATCTCAGTTTAATCGTGAAACTCAGTAAACACTTTAATTATACTACATGTAAAATTCTGGGAACCCTGAGTTGAATGACACTTCTTCAGGTGGTTCTTACTCTAGCACGATGATTCAAAACCAAGGGGTGGGGAGTAATTGCCTCCTGCCCCCTCCAGGGGTCATTTGGCAAATGTCTAGAGATACTTTTGGTTGTCACAATTTGGGAGGGCAGTGCTTCTGGCCAGGGATGCTGGAAAACGTTCTACAAGGTACAAAACAGCTCCCATAACAAAGAATTATCTGGCCCCAATTGTCAATATTGCTAAGATTTGGAAACCTGCTCTGACAGAAGAGGCACATGTTGAACAAATGGTTGCATTTTGGTGGGATATGTACAAAAATGTATGTAAGCCCAGGATATTGAAGTGAGTATGTGGATGGGGAAGCTGGAGGTGGAGTGGGGGTGGGGCAGTGGGCATCAGGGAAGGCTTCATGGGGAAGTGACTCCTAATCATGGTTTTTATTTAATGCCTTTGCCACAAATCATCAAATAATGACTTTCACTGAAAGCTTATTAGTCAAGATTGGGAATTTTTTTTCTTTTTGCACAACCTCTGAGTAATCAAAGCTCCCAACTTTATGTCTTCTCTTGAGAAATATTTCCTCCCCAAAGCCTGGGAGGAATTTATTCAACCTTGTTCCTTGGTTCTCAGCAAGGAATCTCTAGTCGACTTTAACCTGTGGTTCTTCCACCAGGACCCCTCTTTCCTTCTTCACACTTCAGCTTCTTAACACTTGGCCCATGAAGCCTTCCCTTGGAGCCTTCACAGTGATTAATTCATTCTGTGAATTCCTTAGAGCCTCGTTGTCTCTCTCTACACCTATACCAATCTCTTGGGGCGGGGCGGTGTTTCCACTTAGATTGTGGGCTTCTCAAAGACAGGAACCACACCCTTCACATGTACATCCCTCTATGGCATTGAACACTGTTTTGGACCCTGATTTACACTGCAAGTGGGAGGAAGAGGAAGACACTCAAGAAAGATGTCAGGAAACAGTAACGCTGGATTGATATGAACGTTGTATTAGGTTGGTGCAAAAGTAATCATGGTTTTTGCCATTGAAAGAAATGGCAATTACTTTTGTACCAAGCCAATGTCTTGCCAAGGCCTCTGGATTATGTCTTATATCAAAGTCTAAAAATTTAATTTCTGTTCAGTAGGTACAACGTGCAAAAAAGAAATTGCCATAATTATTATTAGCATTTTCTTACTAACATATTTTTCAGAAGCTGTTTCGATATCAAGCAGATCAACCTTTCTGTTGTCATAGAGACAAAGATCTTTATATAACCATGGGCAAGGTGAGATTTTTTTCTTCTCCTCTTTCCAGTTGCCTAGAACTAATATGAAAGGAAAGGAAATTTTTTAAATCAATTTTTTCTTTCATTTTTTTCCCCAATTAAAATGAATGAAATGTGGGAGGTTATTTTTTGTATCACATTTTAGATTTTAAATACCTATGTTTTTCATAAAATATGGAAGGGTAGTAAAGATTTGAATGATGCCATTTTCAAAATTTGTAAGCAGTGGGCTTGCCAGTGATAAGCAGCTATAATCCATGTAGCTTGTTTTTATTCTTCTTCTTAAACCAAATAGTGAACTTCGGATGGAGGTCTTAGAAGGTAAGGTTACTAGGACCCCAAATGACTAAAGCATAAACTAACATCTATTGAGGGACTGATGCTGACTCCTAAGGTGCTCTGCGGTACTTGCCTCCTCCAACCCTGAGAACTTGGAGTGCTCCCCTTCTCTCTGCAGAGGCAAAGTCTATTATAATGTAGTGCAAGACCACATCCTCTCCTCCTGGAAGACTTACCTCATAATTTAAGCTTTCTTTTTTTTATGAGCTGATAACTTGCCGATAGCAGTTTTCTGTCTCATAATTACTGTTTATCATTTCATGCATTCATCAAGAACAGAGGATTTCAGCATGAACCTGTCCACTTTTCCTGTCCTTTGTTTTAATATTGAGTTATTCCTTTACCCACGGTCTTCTTCCCTCAGGACTCAAAACTATCCTTATTCTTTCTAAGATTAATCTTTCCCCTCTGTTGTTAGACTGATGCTCTCCTCCTACCCCCACTGAGATCTGACTCTAACAATTAACATTCCTCCCTCGTTCCCTGTATCTTCAGTCTGTCCTCCATGGATTCCTTCCTGCAGTCCTCTTTGAGGAAAAATAAAAAACTTTCTTCAATTCTGCTTATTTTCCATCTGCCTCTGGGTTTAGGATTTTAGTTTTATGCCTTTTTGCAATAAATAGGTGTTATGCATGTTTTGGGGGAGTGGGGAAGGGAAGTGTACGGCACAAAGACATTTAAAATATACTTTTTTGTCTCTAAGATGATACCCCCCTGGAGAGCTGTGCCTTGGTTCTCAAACTTTAGTATGCATCAGAATCACCTGAGGAGCTTGTTAACATGTAGCCTGCTGGACCCACCCCTGGAGTTTCTGATTCAGTAGGTTGGGGCTGGGGCCTGAGAATATGCAGTCTAACATTTCCCAGGTGATGTTCATACTGTTGGGCTAGGACCATACTTTGAGAAATATTGCCTTAAAGTAACAACCCTCCCTTTGCTTAACATGCACCTCTCTTGTCATATGGATGTTGGTGTCACTATGTTGTGCCAAAAGTTATCCTGTTTCAGCCTGCATAGGCTCAACCTCCACAGAGTGACAAGGGCATCTCTTGAAAGAGGAGGGCATTTCTCAACCATCTGGTGCTCAGGAAATGCAACCTTGTGAGGGTCACCACGCTTGGCTAAGGAGGCTAAATGACTGGCAGAGGATGTTCCTGGTGGTGGATGCTCAGGGTCTCTACCCCCAAACCTAGTCAGCCCTATCAAATATTTTTGAGGGGTTCTAGGATTCTTGAAACCCTGCTGAAAGGCAGCAGGAGAAAGTGGGATTTTTAAAAAAATTAACTTCAGCCTTTTCCTGGGAAGGGGGTCCCTTCCTGAGAACAGCACGTGGCAGCAGGAGCCCTTGAGAGATCTCACTGAAAAGCCAAATTGAAAAGGAACTGGGACTTGGCCCACCCATTCATGCCCCCAGTGGGAGTTCTTTGCTCAGTACTAAGAAATTGAGTGTGTGTGTGTGTGTGTGTGTGTGTGTGTGTGTATGTATGTTTTATTAAGAAAGCAGTAGTTTTTTTTACAAAGACGAGCAAATTTAAAAAGATAATTAATAGATAAAGTCCTGAATTGCTACTCAATAGTTGTGGGACCTTGAGCAAGTTATTCCATCTCTTTGGATCTCAGTTTCTTCTAATCTGTATAATAAGTAGCAGGCAAGTGAGAAAGTCTATTCATAGTACAGTCATTCTTCAGAGCAACACGGCAGGCTTGTTGGGGATGGACCAGGGCTGGAACTTGGAAGGCCTATTCCATGGATTTGTGGATTGATTGAAATAAATTCTATCAGCATGGTCCATTCCTTCAGGGAATGGAGCTGACAAGATAATTAATGGAAACTAATTAATATAAACCCCTCAACCCTTAAACTGTATCTCTCAACCTCAATTATTCCCAGACGGCCTTTAACTTTTCCACAGGAAGAAGCCTGGCTTGGCAGGGAGGGTGAGTCTCCTCTATGAAAGGGGTCCCTGACAGACTCTTGGGGCTCAAAGGAAATGGCAGAGGGGGTGGTCTCCTTCCTTCCCCAGCACAGAATTCCATCATCTCTAATTGTTAGAACATGATCAAGACCGCTACCAGCCTTTTAGATACTCTTGTCTTTTGTCTTTTTTTCCTTTCTTTTTTCCTTTTCTCAGCTGCATTGAGATGTAAATCCTATACTATAGAATTTAAAGTGGACAATGCAGTGTTTTTTAATATGTTCACTTGCGACTGTCACTACAATCTAATTTTACAAAATTTTCATCAGCCCCCCACAAGCCCATACCCACTGATTAGTAGTCACCCACTGTCCCTCCCATCCGCCTCGCCAGCCCTGGCAACTACTAATCTACTTTCAGTTTATCTGGACATTTCATGTAAATAGGATTATAAAATATGTAGCACTTTTTTTCTAAATGGGAGAAAGGAGACCTGATGACACCCTGATAGAGGAGTAGTGCTAAAGGTCCTCCTTCTCCTCTTTGCCCCATCACTCTGGAAACAACAGCTTCCGTCTGCTTGCTGATGTATACAATCCTTCAATCAGGCCTGTGAGTGTGGAGGGGGTGCGCGGGTGCCAGCGGCAGGGCACAGGGCCTTTGGTCCATTAGACCACGAGACTGAAGTTCAAGCACATCTGGGCACGGCGGAGCAGCGGCTTGTATGCTCACTAAGATGCCCGTGTGACCGCCAGCAGTCAGTTGACAGATGAGGTCACCCTTGGTCGTAGGGCCTGAGCACTCCATTCCTAGAGGACCACAGGGTGCCAGAGCCCACATTCACCTTCCCTGACGTGGCTGGCCCAAGGCTCAAAGGCCTGTAAGATTTCTCTGGCAGAGACCCCTGCTAGAGGAGTTGAGGAGCGTCACACCCATATTCCCTTCAAGCAGCGGCAGAGAGCAGGCCTTCTCCTGAGGCTCCCGAATAGTTCTACTCCCCCAGCCGCAGCCCCAAACAGGGGGAAAGAGCGGGGCTGGGCTCTCAGGGGCATGGGGTGGCAAAAACAACCACCAAGCTTTGGGTTCTCATCACCCTAAAACGGGGAAATTGGATAGGGCACAGCGTCTTTCTCCAAGCTTCCAGGGAAAGAGGACCAAAGGAGTAGGGAGGGAAGATGGCATAGGCGATTGAGGGTCCTGTATCCAGGGGGCCGCGACGGCAGCGCTGTGTACTCACAGTCGAGTGAGACCGGCCGTCGGGCCGGGGCAGCGCAGGGCGCCGTCGGGCGCGCAGTTGCAGGGCTCAGGGCAGCGCGCCTCGCGCAGCGCTCGTGGCAGCAACGGCTGCAGCAGCAGCAGCAGCAGCAGCTTCAGCAGCTGCAGCGCCGAGAACCGCTGCTTCATGGCCGGCGAACTGGGCTTCTGCGGCTTTCCAGTGTCTTGGACGGCCTCTGAGTGCGGCTCGCACCCCTCTCCCCGCCCCTTGGCCTGCCCTTCCACACACCCTTCCCTGCCGGCCCGCCCCTGCCCTCCGCCTCTTACCGCGCGCCCCGCTGCGTCTGCTCTGCCTTGACCTGTGACAGTGCCCGGTGACCCCATCACCTCCTTCCTGCTACTTTCCCCTGTCTTGCCCCCTACCATCTGCAAATGGCCCTAGCTATAGGAGATAGATTTAATGGCAAATGTTTTGGATTAGAGGTGGGGAGTTCTGAGTTGAGTGAGTTGTGATACTTCCCGGAACCCCTTTTATTTCATTTGTGAAAGGGTCCCATGGATACTCGCTATACCCACATCAGAAGGTGTAAGAGTGACTAGCTCAGCTATTTCTCCTCTCTTTTATCCTTAGCCAGCCCCTAGTCCTTTCCCCTTCTCTCTTACCAAATCCCTCCACTCTACAAGTAATCTCCGCCCATCCTCCCAACTGCCCCAGTAATTTCTCTTGGTGGTAAATGCTTTCTTCTTTATGGTATAGCTATTTGGCTTGGTCCTATATCTCTTCTATAGATTGGGAGGTCCTTGAGAGCAAAATCCAATTCAGATTTATTTTTGTATTTCTTCTGGCTTCTACTTGGTAAGTCCTCAGTAAATATTTGTTGAATGAATGAACGTAACTGTGTAATACTGGTAGCAGCTGCCCCGTAGAAGGCCCAGGATAGGCTAGACCTTGTAACAGGTGCTCTGCCTCACATCATGTCTAAGCTCCACATTGAAACTAGCAGGGTGTTTACGATTAGAAAAATGTCCTGAGAGATATGTGGCTTCCCTGAAGTCACACGGTTTTAAAGTAGTGAAACCTGGAACTCATGTCTATCACCTACTATCTCTTACCAGTGCAAAAAAGGGCTATGATCTACATACCAAGGGACTTAGAAAGGAGACAAAATTTTATGGTAATCATGGGGATGCATGTCCCCTCTTTGATTTGATCATTCCTTCCTTTCAAGGACTCTGTTTGGATTCTGGAAATCCTAGCAGTTTTGCTGGAAGAGGACTTTGAAAGCTGGGAAGGCATCTAAGGCTTTAAAGAGAGGAAATACAAGAATAAGTTTCTTTCATTCTGAATCCAGCTCTCAAGGATGGGCTCCCTCATTCACCATTCTACAGTATGTTGCTCAAGGAGGGTAGATTATTATTATTTTAAAAACTTGTTTGGCTTTGCCCACATTGTGCTAGATGGCACAAAAACAATGCTCATGTCTGTAATATTGTCTTCTCTGGATCCTCTCTTCAACTGCTTATAGATGACTCCTCACCCTTTCATACCTCTGCATGGGTTGTCCCCACTATTTTCTCTTCTTTTTCTATTATTCCATTAGATAAATACCTGGTTGTCTTTCAAGACTCAGCCCAATGTCATTTCCACTTTGGTTCTTCTCTGAGTCAACCTAGTTGAGTAGTTTTGGCCATAACACCTGGTTCTACAGATTACTGTTAGATTGTTACAGTAATCCAACACACTGTAATTGTGGGTTTCATTTTGCTTTCCCCTGTCTATTCATCTTAATATCAACAGAGCATGTCATAGCTTCTAGCTCCTAGTAGGTGTTCCATATGTGTCTGTTGAATAATAGAGTGAATAAGTGAAACCCAGGCCCAGATTTGTAGTAGATGCTCAGTAAACTATCTGAGAAGAGCTTAATAACCTCACTTGCTTTATTCTCAACTACGCTGGATCTATCTGGATATGTGTAAAGTAATTATACATGACTACTTTGGGTGTCATGTTCTCTGTTCTCTTTTAGTTTTGTCATATTTTGGTAGGGAAATTGGGGTAGGCACTGGGATTTTTAAACATTTTCACCATGTATCTTGAATGGAAGGAGAGAAAGAATGAATAACTCAAGGTGACTGAATGGCATTTCTTTCAAGTCTCATGTTTTACGTGACTTTTTTTTTTTTTAAACTCTGTAGCATACCTGTTACATATAAAAAAAGTTTGCTCCCACCCACCCCTGAATCTTTGAGAACAATGGATATTCCAGAAGAATCATTTAATTCTGTACTCCAGTAGGAGGACTAGGCAATCAGAACACTAGGATTTTCCTTCTGTTTCTGCTGTCAGTCATGAGATTTGCCCTTCAGTCTCTTCATCTGTAAGAAGGGTTGAAGTTCACTATCCCTAAGGCTCTTCTGGCTCTAAAGATGCAAAGACTTTCTAAGCAGCTCCTATAGAATTGCTAGTGGGAGGAACTGGATTGTATGTATTGACTTCTTATAACTTGTCTTGGATTGGAAATAAAATCCTGTTTATGAAAAGTCTAGGTTGTTCATTTGGAAGAAAGCTCACAACTGCAATGAGTTTTCATAAAATTTTACTATCTAGATTAATTTCAGTTGGATCTTAATTATCACATCAGTTCTTACAATGTAACATTATAATAAAATCATATTGATTCATTTGTTATAATCACAAAAGTTTGTTACAATGGAATTTACCTATCTTATTCATTAATACTCATTAGAGTGAGTATTTTTAAATCCAAAGGACTTTGTTTCATTAACTATGCTTATAGCTACTTTGTCAGAGAACTTCAAACCAGCGTGACCCACAAAGATTGCTAATTACATTTTAATGACAAAATAAAGTTTACAGAATTCACAAATATTTTATCCTACTTTAGAGATAGAAAAACATAGTATCTGACACCGTAACTCAGAAATTGCAATTAAAACTCTCCAAAGTTTTAGAACGGAGCTTCTCATATTTTAGGGTGCGGAAATATCATTTGCAAAGCTTTAAATACTAAGATTCCTAGAACTTTCCCCATGAGATTCTGATTCAATAGATACAGAGTGGGGTCCCAAATTCTGCATTTGAATAAGCTTTCTCATGTAATTTTGATGCATGTAGTCCTGGATCACAATTTGAGGAATACCCAAAAATGGAAATTCTAGAATTAAATTTGCCTGAAGAAGACAAAGCTCAAGAATCTTTATTAAGGACTGCGAGTGAAGCCTAATAATGTTGATGCATCTTGAAAGAAACCTTGATGTATATAAGTACATGCATAGAAATAATATATTCTGTGTACATGTGTTTAAATGTCTAAAATTATTTAATTGGTTATATTGTTGAAATTTATTTATTTATTTATTTATGGAATGAGCAATGTTACAAAATAATGGAATCTATTTTCTTTATGCCACCCTAGGTCAAAACTCAATAGCACCTGAAGTTACACTAAGACGTTGGAGTTGAAAGACATTAGCAAAGTAATTTAAAAAAATTTTTTACTTTAAGTTCTGGGATACGTGTGCAGAACGTGCAGGTTTGTTACATAGGTATACATGTGCCATGGTGGTTTACTGCACCCATCAACCCGCCATCTATGTTTTAAACCCTGCATGCATTAGGTATTTGTCCTAATGCTCTCCCTCCCCTTGCCTCCCATTCCCCAACAGGCCCCGGTGTGTGATGTTCCCCTCCCTGTGTCCATGTGTTTTCATTGTTAAACTCCCACTCATGAGTGAGAACATGCAGTGTTTGGTTTTCTGTTCCTGTGTTAGTTTGCTGAGAATGATGGCTTCCAGCTTCATCCATGTCCCTGCAAAGGACATTAACTTATTCTTTTTTAATGGCTGCTAGTATTCCATGGTGTATATAAGCCACAATATCTTTATCCAGTCTATCATTGATGGGCATTTGGGTTGGTTCCAAGTCTTTGCTCTTGTAAATAGTGCTGCAATAAACATACATGTGCATGTGTCTTTATAGTAGAATGATTTATAATCCTTTGGGTATATTCCCAGTAATGGGATTAGCAAAGTAATTTTTAAGACCTTAAGTAGAATAGGCAAGGTTTTTTGATTCTTGAACACATACCCTGTTAGTACAATAACTGATATTTGTTCTCACTTAAAAGCAGTGGTTTTACCTCTCCCTTGGAAGAAAAGGTGAATGTAGGCAGAGTAAGAAAAAATTGCTTAAGAAAAGAAAAATACAGTTACATCTCTGAGCTGTTCACCTTTTTACCTGGGGTAAAAAAACTAAACAAAACAAAATAAGGAGAACAAAAAAGACAGTCCCTGAAAGTTACACTCCAAAATTTCATGCGAGTTCTTTATTGCTTGTTTGAAAATTTCATCTCCATTTCACTGTCTACATAATGTAAAATCGGAGCTGTGATCATCTGTGTCACCTCCCACACAGCCCTGGGGTTCTTGTGGGCCTCAGAAGGAGTTTGAAGCTGCAGGCTGATAGGCAGCTGGGCCGGTAATTGGAATGTGATGATTGGTCTGGGGCATGAGAATCCTACTCTGAGGCTGATGGAGAGAGAGAGTTGGAGAAGGGGCCTTGCCTTTTTGGTCATGTTGCCAGAAAGATGTGAATGAATTAGGGGCTGCTGTCCTTCTTGTCTCATGGAAAAACCCTATTTGTGCTGGCAACAACTAGAGAAAAGTAGAGATGAGAAATAGATGACGGCAAGCAGTCTTGTTAATGTCTTTTGACTTCATGGAAGTGGTCATACCTGAGGCCAGCTCTACCCTTGGACTGCCTAAGTAATGAGTTGACACACTCCCCTCCTGCTTAATCTAATTGGAGTTGAGTCTTTCTCACTTGCAACCAAAATTCTTCATCTCTACTATGAGCCTTGCTGTGAACTTTATTTAGCCTGCCAACTTCCCTCATCTCTTTCCAGTTAGGAGAGAAATAGGGCTTTTCTATTCTTATCTCTATCATAGGACTCATTATAGGTGTAGTGAATTTTTCCCCATTTGCATTGACAGCCTTTATCACTGTACTTCTGGGAATAAACAAGTCAAATGAGTGAAGGAACAAATGAATGAGTGCACAAAGAAGTAATGTGGTAGAACCACGTTATTCCTCTTTATAGCGAAACTGCATTTTGTTACATAATTTACCAAACATCATTTTTCTTTTAGGGAAGGCCTCTTACTGAAACCTTGGTTTAGCAATTAAACTTCAAGCTAAAATATTAGACAGAGGCAACACAAGGAAAGCGAGAA